AATATCCGAATGAGAGAGGGAGATGAGCCGAAAGCAGCGTTCAGAACAAATTGGGGGTTATTTGAACTATTAGTCATGTTCTTCAGGCTGACAAATTCCCCTGCCACATTCCAGACAATGATGAACACGCTCTTCAAAGAATTGATACACAAAGGACTTGTAATCATATATCTAGATGATATTATGATATTCACGAAGGATATAGAAATGCACAGAGCAACGACGCAATGTGTATTAGAAATCCTAATAAAAAACCATCTCTACCTTAAACCAGAGAAATGTGATTTCGAACAAACAGAAGTAGAATATCTGGGATTGATCATCTCAGAAAACGAAATTCGCATGGATCCAGTGAAAGTAGAAGGAATTAGCAAATGGCCAGAATGTAAAAACAAAAAAGACATCCAAGCATTCTTGGGCTTTGTAAATTTCTACAGAAGGTTTATAGAAGGCTTCGGGGAAGTAGCAAAACCATTGACCAAGTTAATGGGAAAAGAGGAATTCATTTGGGGAAATGAACAACGCAAAGCATTTGACACCTTAAAAGACACGTAGCTTCAGCCCCTGTGTTAGCCCTCCCAATACCACATGGCCAATATAAAGTAGAAGCAGATAGTAGTGACTTTGCAATGGGAGCTGTCTTATCACAGAGACAAAAAGATGACTGGAAGCCAATTGCATACCTCTCTAAAGCATTGAACCCCACGGAACGCAATTACGAGATCTATGATAAAGAACTTCTTGCCATCATGACAGCACTCAATGAATGGAGACACTACTTAATAGATGCAGAGGAAGAATTTGAAATATGGACGGATCATCAAAATCTGTTATATTTCAAAGAACCAAAGAAGTTGAACAGGCGACAGGCACGATGGATGACAGAGTTGAGTCAATATCATTTCACAATACACCATATGCTTGGAAGAAAACATATAAAAGCAGATCTGCTCTCAAGACGATCAGATCACAATAAAGGAGAAAAAGACAACGAGGATGTCATACTATTAGATGAGAAACTATTCGTACAAATGACCCTTTCATCAAAACAAAGACAAGCAATTGAAGATAGTCAAGAGGAAGAATTAGTAATTTCAAAATGGATCTTAAAAAGGAAAGGGAACGTAGATGATTTGATAAAAAAGATGAAAGGAAAGATAGAGAGGAGAGAAGACGGATGGTTCGAGGAAGAAGGCTACGTAGTGTTCAAAGGCAGGATATATGTACCGAAAGATGCCAAGTTGAGAGAAGAAATCATCAGACAAAACCATGACTCTACCATTGCAGGTCACCCAGGCAGATATAAAACGAAAGAATTGATCACTCGACAATACTGGTGGCCTTATATGGACAGAGATATCATGAAAAACGTAGATGGATGTGAAGTCTGCCAAAGAACTAAAACAGACCACAAAAAGAAAGCGGCACCACTTCATCCAAACGAAATCCCAAGTAAACCATGGCAAATCATTTTAGTGGATCTAATCGGACCACTACCAGAATCAATCGGATACAACATGATAATGGTAGTGGTAGACCGATTCACAAAAATGATCAAAGCAATTCCCACTCAGATGGAGATCACCTCAGAAGGAGTAGCGCAATTATTTAGATATCACGTATTCAGAAACTACAGCATACCCAAAAAGGTCATTTCAGATTGGGGACTGCAATTTGTTTCTAAATTTATGAAAGATCTACACATGCTTCTTCAAATAAAGGGAAATCCATCAACAGCATGGCATCCACAAACAGATGGGCAAACGGAGAGGATCAATCAAGAGATAGAACAATATCTCAGAATCTTCGTAAATCATAAGCAAGATGATTGGGCAGAATGGCTTACTTTAGCAGAGTTCTCATATAACAACAAACAACACTCTGCGACAGGATATAGCCCATTCTACCTACATCAAGGACGCCATCTGAGAACACAGGAAGTAGTGAAAGTGGAAGTGAAAAGCGAGAGTGTGGAAGATTTTGTAAAGAGAATCACAGACACGAGGAAAAAAGCGGAAGAGTCATTACAAAAGGTGGCAGAACAAATGAAGAAGCAATATGACAAAAAAAAAGGGATGCTGTGAAATATAAAATAGGAGACAGAGTATATGTAGAAGCAACAAACATTTCTACAGACCGACCAACTAAGAAACTGGATGACAAAAGACATGGACCATTCGAGATCATTGAAAAAATAGGCGAGTCAGCCTACAAATTACTACTACCACCGACATGGCGATCTATTCATCCAGTTTTTAACAAAACGAAACTCACACCCTATAAAGAACCACAATTCCCTTCTCAAAAACAACCCAAACCGATACCACCGGTGATAGTGGATGGGCAAGAAGAGTATGAGGTCAAGGAAGTTCTAGACTCACGTCTAAAAAAGGAAAACTAGAATACCTAGTTCATTGAAAAAACTACCCAAAAGAGGAACGCACATGGGAACCCGAACAACACCTATCCAATTCACCAAAAAAGGTGAAAATATTCCACAATAAAAACCCTAGTGCACCTTGACGGATACAATTTCAATTACAATTCCAACCTTTTGAAAATTTTACTACGACAAGAGTACAAAAACAACTATTTAACTGGGAACCTGGAAAACTTGACCCTCACTTTCGGGACGAAAGTCTTAAAGAGGGGGTAATGTCACGATTTGAATCAAACCTGATCTAATCTCAAAATCTTATTTATTATAGTCACGTGATATTACCATCACATGACTCATTACGTAAACAAGTAGTTAGTTATATCTGGTCACGTGACAATCACCTGACAAAGCCTAGACTATGACATAGAACATCAGTCAGCGCCTCATGGCTACTGTATGTTGTATCAGTCAGTGCCTCATGGCTGACCTTCAGAAATGTATATATACCAACACTCATGTACATACATTTCCTCAGTTGTTGATTACCTCTTAATATCGATACTTGACACTACTTGTTTGATTTTGAAACTTACACCTTTGTTAGTTCAGCATAAGGTGTAGGGATCTTATAACCATCCTCTCCGCAAAAAATGATGCCGTTAGCGACCTTAATTCAGCAATCCTCACAAAATTCCCTGGAAAAGAGTTAGTAGTTCTGTCAATTGATAAAGTGGTTGGAGTGAGGCATGAACATTATCCTGTGGAATTCTTGAACTCCTTGCAAGTATCTGGCCCTCCTGAAGTGCACCTCAAACTTAAAGCTGGATGTCCGCTTATGCTCCTCTGCAATATTGATTCCCTAAATGGACTCTGTAATAGAACACACATGATTTTGATAGAGATGAAGAGAAGAGCATTGAAGTGCCGTGTCTTGGGAGGAAAACATGCAGGAAAGATAGCTTTTGTTCTACGCCTCACACTGGAACCTTAATTGGAAAAATTTCCCATCAAGCTATCATGTCGTCAATTCCCTGTCCGTGTTGTCTTTGTCATAACCATCAACAAATCTCAAGGGCAATCAGTGACACAGGTTAGGCTGTATTTATGTGTTCCAGTGTTTTCACATGGGCAACTTTATGTTACATTGTCTTGCTGCACTTTGGGAGAGAGAATAAAAGTGCTATTTCCACATGGTTCAAATGACAGACATACCTTCAATGTGGTGTATCCCAAAATTCTGACTGGCTTTATCCATGACTGGCAAGTAGATTTTCCCCCAATTCTCACCCTATTTTACTAAATTGTTTTGTTATCAGATCATATTATCATTCTTTACCATTTCTGGGGTCTCTTTTTTTATTTCTCATCAATTTATCAGTATACTACCATAGACTTTTTATGTTACAATATATGTTGATATTTGTAAGGATTCAATGAATCATCTGCTTGAACTCAGTATACTGTGCACAAGTTTAGGGCAGGCTTATAAGAGCATTCAATAACAGAACAGCAAGTCAAACATGCATCATAGGATTCAAAGACTTGACATACATTACAGACAGCATAAGTTCACTGACTTAACATTTTGATCACTTAACAGTATTATTATTATTATTTATCATATAGCAAAAACATTGCACCAGTGGCAGAGCCATGGGCTGGACCTCGTCTAAAATGAAGGGGACAGTGGTCCCAAGACACGTGCAAGCCACATTGCATTAGCCTCGTTCAAGGTGCGTTTTGTAAGGAAATTGAGGAGAGAGAAAAGGTGTCGTCAGCGTGGAAATAGCATGACGAAGCAACAGCAGTAAACTTATGCTTGAGCCGAGACTGTAAATCAATAATAAACCTATATAAAAAACGTCAGGAAACCTAGAGGTTGAGATTGAATCAAGCATGCTTCAAGTTATATAAAAGCTTGGAAAGCATACCTTGACACCTCATCCACCATGCCTCGTCATCAACCCACTGCTCGCCAGCAGCGTCTTGACGACCTCGACGACTTGCTCATCTACCTCCTTCAACGCCTCATCCGCCGCAATTCTCCGGTGGCGCAGATCGAAAGCCAAAATTCAGAGGGCAACGCATCACGTGACATGTCACTTGCGAGTACTTCGTTATCTGTTGTACACTCAACCTCATTAATGTCAGGTAAGTCCCTATGGATTAATTGATTAAATATTTTCTAGTGTTTAATGCCTGGTATTTAAATATCAGGTATATCACCTGATGAGGAACCAGCTGGGGTTGTACAAGTGCGCCCCAGGACAAGTCATATTCAGATTCTACTTAGTGAATACATCCGTCTAAGCAGTGAAGTAGAAACCACAAGAGTTTTTACTACATACCCATCAGCACCACGTATTTCACAATTTCCTCTTATGGAGTGGTCATGTCATCACAACCAGACCCGTTTTTTCCATGTTAATCGATGCCAACCAGAGATTTTTGATGCAATTCTGGCCAAGATCATCCATCATCCTATTTTTCATAATAAATCTAATACACCACAAACTCCTGTAGAACATCAACTCTCAATCTTTCTGAACCGCCTAGGCCATTATGGCAATGGATCTACGGCCACTGACATTGCTGACTGGGCAGGTTACTCAGTCGGCAATGTAGTGAACAGTACCAAACGCTGTGTGATTGCTATTCTCTCTTTGCATGATCAAGTTATTGGGCCAGCTAATCAGGAGGAAAAGGATGCAGCAAAAGCATGGGTAGAGCACCAGGTTTGTGCGGAGTGGAGAAATGGATATTTAGCAGTTGATGGCACCAATTTTTGCCTCTTCCAAAAGCCAAGCCACTATGGGGAGACATTCTTTGACAATAAATCAAACTACTCTCTGAATTCTCAGGGTAAGTAACATTATTTTAGAATTATATGAATAACCTGATGGTTTCCCTAGATTACCATCCTCCCTCATAATCTCAAGATTGTGGACTATGGATTAGGGCACACGGGCAGCACTCATGACTCTTCTGCCTTCCAAGATACTCTGATGTAGCATGACCATGAAGCCTTTCTGGAAAAAGATGAATGGATGTGGGCCAACTCTGCATATCCTATTATACCATTCAAACAGGCACCAGGTTGTGGCCTCACTGTGAGGCAGTCTCAGTTCAACTACCAATTGTCACGCATTTGTATATGATGTGAACATGCCATTGGACTTCTCAAGATTCGGTTCCAGTCTCTCAAAGAATTGATAAAATTGGATAATGACCAGACCAGGGATTGAACCTGGAACCTTCTGGATACATGCCAGCTGCTCTACCAATTGAGCTATATGGCCAAGGTTATACAATGTAGGATCTTAAACATGACATGCAACCACGGACATCTTACACAGAATAGCTGCTGCATACTGGGCTGGCTTACAAATCAGAGGTATTATCCTATGGAGTATAGGTATGTCAGAGTATATTCTAACAAGAATTATGCATCCAGATTGACTCAGTAAACAAGATAGACTCTGTTATTATCCGGATCTGTTGTTGTATCATTCTGCACAACCTCATTATTGAACATGAAGGCAAGGAATCAGGGGTTATCATTCCTAGAGAATGGCAACAGGCAATCGAAGGAGAAGTGGATGATAATGGGGAGGAAATTGATGCAGATGTGGATGATTCAAATCACAAGGTCCTTTACCCCAGAATCCAACTCAGATGCTTCGTGAAAGGCTTTTTGATTCCCTCTTTAGTAGTGACTTATACTGATCTTATTTCATGTATGATACACTCAGACAATATTACAGTATGCATTGTTCATCAGTACATAACAACATAACAGCATAACAACATATTCAAACGGAAGTAACATCACAACAGCGTTTAAAATGGCAGAAAAAAAAATATAAAAGTGGAAAAAATGAAACGGCAGAAAAAATGAAACGGCAGGGAAAAAATCATATACAGGCATACAAAAACACAGACAGCAGATAGTACATGAATCAAGGCAGTAATAAACAATGAAAACAAAATGTACTCCAGATCACAGTACGATCAGGCCCCATCCTCGTCCTCCACAATTCTGTCGCCGTCTTCATTCCTGTCACTGTATAAATCACTGTCTTCGTTGAACGAGTTGTGGGGGGGCATTGTGGGATTGGCGAAGTCAGTAGATTGGAGGACAGATGTCATGGTAGACATGAAGTCTTCACCTCCTTCGCTTAGCATTTGGGATAGGCCGACAGTGAAGTCGGATGTTCCGAGTGCGTTGGAGGTGGGACCTGGAGCGGCGATGGAGCTGGAGCTGGAGCTGGCGTTGAAAGAAGGGCCAGGTGCGGACAAATGGGGGGGGGAGGTCCTCCAGTCAGGCTCATCCGGTAGCGAAGTTCCATTGTGCGTTGTTCATGAACCGCCCACTTCAATCACATCTCCTCAACCCTCTCATTGTTCGCGCACCATCTGCAGCTTTGCTAACTCAAAGAGTGCGGCTGTAAGTTCGGCCCTGGCATCCTTGGCCGTCTTCAAATTCTTGCCCTGTGCAAGTGTTGTCGAATGTGCGTATTTCGCCCACTTCAGGTCAGCTTCGGCCTTGATCCCATCACTCTCTGCCTGGAGAACAGGCTCCATCAACGCCTTCAAGCGGTCGCCCTCGGATTCGCGCTTCTTGCCCTTTGTTTGCTTCAGCTCAGCCTTCTTCTTGGGCTCCGGATCCTCTAATTTGATGACGTTGCGGCTACGTTTTGAAGTGGGAGTAGTGGGATGAGGCAGGTGAACGGGTCGAGCAGGTGAATGTCTGCAAGCAGGCGACTGCCCCCGACCCAAAGAACCCCCCCCACTGAGCTGGCGCTGATGGCCAGTAACCGAGATGGGGGGACGGGTGATAGAAGCGGGAGGAATGGGGGCGACAGACTGAACCGCAGGGACAGAGGTGTCCGAGCCGTTACTGTTGATGGACAGGCTGGATAGTGAGGGGTCAGATGGGTTGAAGTCCAGGGAAGCCATATACGGGGTTGTGCTGGTGATTTGCCCGTAGCGCTGCTGGGGCTGCAGAGTAGCGGAGGGCAAGCTGGAGAGCGAAGGATTCGACCTATATAGAATTTGCTGGGAGGGATTGCCGTACTGCGCATACACAGCCGCCTGCTGCTGCTGATACGGCGGCTGCTGCTGGTGCTGGTGCTGTTGCTGGTACGGCTGGTACGGCTGCTGCTGCTGAGATGGCTGGTACGGCGCCTGGTGCTGGGACAGCTGCTGCTGATAGCTGCTGCCGTCACCGCCATCCTGCTCGTGTTCGACCAAATCCCACCCACCACCCTGGAAATGTGAGTTCATGCCACACTGGAAAGCTTCATCGTCACCCCTCATTGGAAACAGAACCGCCATAGCCTTCCCCGAGAGATCCTGACCATGCGCTGATGTTGCCGGCTTCGCATTATACTTCAGCGATGCACACCAGAAGGTGCTGAGGCGGTCCCACCACGGGAATTTAGCACGAACTCGTTCTTTCAAAATCAGCAATCAAATCTAAGTATAAAATAAAATAAAGTAAAAAACTCACTGATTGGACTGTTGTACAGGGCATCGGACAGATCCCCCGCCACAAGGCCACTACCAGTGGATCCTAAATCCCGCAGATGGCTTCAATATGTCTTGCTGAGGCTGATAGCGTCAATGTAGTGTCAATAAATAATAAATAAACGGTGAAATAAATACCTGGTAAGACGATGCTGCACTGACTCACCAAATTGTTGGCGATGGTGATCAACCGCGATACGCAAGTTCACATTGGAATCATTCTTGAAAACGTGTCTAGCAATCCTTCTATATAAAGAGGCCTTTGTATGTTTAGTAGATCTTGAGGCATCCCGATTCTCTTCTTTGGTGACTGCAGTAGAATCTGAAAATAAAACATATCTACGTTTAGGATGTTTCTCAAGCCAGTCTACCAATCGATCTGTTCTTGGATTGAACCAATTAATCTGCGCAGGTTTGGGAATATTACCTTGGTTTTGAAGAGTCCGTAGTGATGCCATTTGACAACTTGTATCGGTCGGAATGTAACGGCTCAGACTGTCAGCTGAGGGATTGTCAGAGGAGGTATCGTCGTCAGAGTTTTGTGAGGCAATTGGACTACGCGTAGCTTAGGAGGGGGGGGGGGATGGGGGCAGGCCAAGGCATGGCAAACGGCCGTGTTTGCAGGAAGTAAGGTCGAAGCGCCGAATTCTATCGGAAGACTTGCCGTGTAGTTTATTTCTCGATTTATCTTGGATTTCTCAAAAAATATTATTCGGTGATTTCCAGGTATGAGCCTTCGGTTACTTGCCCCGCGTTCCATAACTGATGACGTGGCCAGCTTAAAGCCAGAGTTCCCGAACTTCAGGCTTAAGCGGTCCCTTACGAAACGCACCTTGAACGAGGCTAATAATTGGTTATTTCGCTTAGGTCCGTGGTTTTTGTGGCACCACGGGTGCCAGCGGTTCTCGGTTAAGAAGCTACGTGATTGCTGTGGCGTGGTGATTCTCATGGTGGTTTGCTATTCACTTGGCAAGGACGCTTCCGACGAAAGACGGCGAGAAATCAGACACACAAATACCTGTTTACAACGAAACTCTACAACACTGTACAGAATCTTCACTGATGACATCTCCAATCAGCTCCTCAAGACAACAAGGGCAGACGACGAAACGCCCAGCGAAGATGGCTTCATCTCCATCCCTCAGCCATCTCCTGAACTTCACTTTACCTCCAAGGCAAGCGCAACCACCAAGCCTACCTAGAAGAAGCAAAAAGGCGTGTACTCAACAGGGTGTGTGGAACAAGGAAAGTAAGTATGCCAACATTATCTTTCCAGGCCGTCTCCTTTACCAGCGATCGTTCAGGATTCGTTAATGCGCAATATCGGTTTGTGATGAACCCTACTGGTGACTACACCGCCCACTTTGCTGATCCAGACATGTGTGTTTCATTTTACGTGTCTCCTTCACGTTATCGCTCTAACAGCGTGACCCACGTCTCTAGTTTCTTCCAATGGCACGATATTTTGCAAGTCCTCATACCGCGCTCTTCTGCTCTCGCATCCGTTTCTTCCGCAGGAGCAACATATAACGAGAAAGAAGGCCTGACAACTTGTCCTATCTGTCTTTCCCCCCCAACGGTTCCTCGACTCACCAAATGCGGTCATGTAAGTTGATCATGATTTTCGCAAGCTTTTCATTATCTGACTCGTGGATCACAATCAGGTATTTTGCTTCCCCTGCATTCTCCATTACTTGAGCACGTCAAATAATCCCAAGTGGGCACGATGTCCTATCTGTTTCGATTCCGTAAACGCGAAAGAGCTCAAATGCGTCAAATGGTATGATGCGCCCATCCACGTTGAAGGTGATGACCAGGATGACCAGGAATTACCACCGGAAGGATCGTCTTTGGCTATGGCCCAATCTGGCCTTGCCGGGATACCTCTTACAGGCTCTCTATTGCGCATGCGTCTCATGCAGAGACCTTATATCACTACACTAGCTCTTCCTCGGTCCTACACCTGGCCATCGGATCTTATTCCTCCCCACCAAGCCCCTTTGCATTTCTTGCCAGATGTCTACAACTATGCCAAATTCATGCTTGCTACCCCGGATTATCTCATTTCAGACCTTTTGAAAGACCTAAATATCCTAGCTGCCGAACGCAGAATGATAGTCGGTTTTGGTGACGAGCTCAGTCTATCCTTCATGGATGCAGCAGAGGAGAATCTACGTCACCAGATTGCTAAAGCAGCTGCCTTGGAAACGTCTCAGTTGAAGGATGCGGTCGATAAGGCTATAAGGGATCAGCGTGAGATAGAAGATCGCTTTTCGTTGTTGGTGCGACGCGGACAGCAAGAACCCTCAGACCTCCTGGAAGATATTCCAGAAGCCTTTCTCGCTATGCAAGGCAACTTAGGATTCAACGTTGGTAAGGATCTAATGCGCTTGGCGCCCGCATGGACAACGCCTGACTCCACCATCAATCTCCCCCATCGATCCCCAGCTGCCCTCAATCGCGATCCCAAGCAACGTCGAAATCTGAATCCTCCACCACCATCGACGCAGACATATTATTACTATCAAGGGGCATCCGGACTTCCTGTATTCTTACATCCCTTGGATATCAAGATCCTATTTTCGCACTTTCATAGTTATTCTTCATTCCCAGATGATATTACTATCCGTGTGGAATCTGTTTCTGAAGGCACCGTGGGTGACGATTTACGGAAGCGATGTAAATATTTGGCCCATATGCCCGAAGGGGCAGATGTTGTGTTTGTCGAAGCTGATCTCGAGGGTATTGTCGGTCATGAGGGCCTCAAGAATTTTGAGGGACTTCTGAAGACTAGGAGAGCACGCAGAAGTGAAAAGGAGAAAAAGGACGACCGTGCTCGTGCTCGCGCTGAGGAACGGGAGAAGGACAGGATTGTGGCATCATCGAGTTATAACTTCTCTCCAATGCACACGTTCATAGCTCCTGAGGAATCACAGGAATCATCGGAGCTTTCACCAATACCGCCTCAGCCGGTTGGTACGTGGGGAACGAGGACTTTTGCGTCTGCATTACATGCAACGCCTTCAGGAATGCCTATGCGGACACCTTCTTCGTCAGCGCAGCGCACGCCCAGACAGGGCGACGATGACGGGGATATGAATATCGCGTGGCATGAAATAGAACAGAGAGCTAGAGGCGACGGTGGTCGAAAGAGGGGCAGCAAAAGGGTGGTGTTAGGTGGGAACGGAGGGCGAAGACGTTAGCTATGATTGAATAATCCATGCGTAATTGTGGTGCGGGTATGGTTTGTGTCATTGTAAAATAAAAACGACGAAAATGAAGGTGTCAGTGAAGTAAATAACGAGTCTTAAGGCTGGCCGCGGGTGGGCGCCTGCGGTGCTCTTCATTCAAGTAATGGCCTTGTTTTGCCGAAGTAAAAGGAGATTAGCTGGCTGATCAGATGAATATGGGCACTGCTGCAACAGTTGCTGAAGCTGTTGAGTATGACCCAGAAGCTGCCAATATTGAAGACAAACAGAGACACCTGGCAGAAAACAAAAAGAAGGAGTTAGACGTCAACAAGCTCCTCCAGCTGATTGACAATGTCCACATTACACAAATAATGTCATTGCATTGGCATTGAACATTATGTCACTATGTGCCTGAACTCCAAGTATACAAGGCCAGGGTGTCAGAGATATGCCGCACGGAAGCAGCAAAAAAAAGGTTTACTCCTCAGAAGACAAAAAAAGTTCATCCCCTTGCAACCAATGGTTTCAACGAAACTCTGACAACTGAGGTAAAGGCCCAAATGGGCCAGGACTTGCAAAGCCACCATCCATGCCTAATATTGGTGGGAGGGGATGGGTTGATGTTTGAAAAGTTAATACAAATGAAAAAAATACCTACAATTCCATAAATTATAACGTGTTCGACAGTTTCAAACTCATCCAGCCAATTCTCGAACTGTGGCATAACTGAATGGACTAACCTCAGTCGTGTCTTCAAAACACATTGGGGGGATGCACTCACAAATAATCTGTCAACACTTTCCCATAGTGCCAATCAGATTGGGCGCAAGCCTCCTACAAATCTAAAAAAAAGTAGACTACTATCCTGCATTCCACTTTATGAATGTGGTCCTGGATGTATGCATGCTTGATTGCTGGAGGTGAGTTATTGTGCTGTTGAGTTTATGTTGTCAGCTCATTAATAACAGGGTACAACTCAGAGCCACAGACCTGTTCATCCTTTTCAAAACCATGGCATCCACAACAAACTCCCAAGTTTTGATTCATTGCATAATATGGCAATGTCCCTGCACCTGAAATATAGCAGTATCAATAGCTATGAAAATGCACTGCAAGCACATCAACCTGACAAGCCAGTGTTGGTGCATCTTGGATCACTGTCCCCTCCCATGCCCCAAGACCCTTATATTTCTGTGACTTCGGCCACATGCCAGAGCAAGCAAACTGCAAACAAAAAAAGTAACAGTCAGACAAAGAAAAAGAAGAAGATGTAATCGCTCGGATATGATCTAGCAAATGAATAGCTCAGACTTTGAATGAATGTCTGATATATTGGGATAATGTACCTAGCAAATGAATAGCTAAGAAACAAAGGATAAGCTAGGTACTCGTAACTTTGATACAGAAGGGGATGACAAAACCGGATAAACCCGGTCTCTGCCGAAGCAGCCATTGTTCTCCATGGAGCATAGCCACCACTCCATGGAGTAACCATTGTTCTCCTAGGAGCACAATTGTACTCCTAGGAGTCATTATACTGTAGCGAGTAGCACCTCCAACTATAAGTAGTAGGGGGTTTAGTATAGGAATACCTCAGTTGTTTCTATAACCTCTCGGGCAGCGGCTGAGGTATGTTACATTACATTTATTAGAGATCACCTTAAACTAACATCTATTGTAGTTTCACTTAGGTAAATAATAAAGTCGTTTCTATAGCCTCTCGGGCAGCGGCTGAGTTTCACTTAGTTTTATTAGGGGAATCTCACCTTAGACTTCAAATGAATGTCTGAGGTGTCTGTCTAATGACAACAGGGTATATATGGGAGAACAGAATCAAAAAATAAAATGCTATCTGATGGCGCACGGGCCACTCCATCTACTAGGCCTGCCTAGTTCGGCGCTTGCACCACTTCCTCTCTTTGTACGACACTTGTTTCTCTATCTCAAACAGAAGAAAAGGCTGGGCCCAGAGAAGAAACAGAAGAGACCAACCAGCCCTTTGAGGGGGACCGCACACCGGCACAATCCATACAGTTCATGTCAGACAGCCTTGTAGCTTGTGAATTTGCTTATGCTGTCACTGATGGTGACATTGGACGGGTATACTAGTGCTTGAAAGTGATAGTATTCAGTTTTGCAGGTTCCTCATACACAAAGTACTCCCCATACCTTCTGAAGATGATATGTACACTCAAATATGAATGCAGTCCTAAACTATGAGATGTTATCTTGAAAGACTGGCAGGTTACCTTGGAGGGAACACCTGGATCCTTTTATGGTGGTGACTTATTGCAAGAGCATTATAACCTCCTCCTTCAAGAATTCTTGGTCCATGATGGTATTTTGTGGGATGGTGAGCTCATGCATAACATTATATCATAAAATGTCAATAAATTAGCTTGAATGAAAAACGATATGCTGGCTGGTTTGGGATTTTCTCGCCACACAAGCAAACACCCTGAGCCTCATAATAACCCTGAAATAAAATTATTACTTCAAACCTACCATGACACTGAGCTTCATTTGTTTTGGCCACATTGAGATTATGGGGAACATGAAGTATACAATTTTGGAAGGTGTATAAAAAAGCTAGCGCATGGGAGACTCAAAAAGGATAGTGATGGAGTGATAGTGAGAATGTAGGAGGTGAAGACATTGACCTTGATGAGGATAACAAGGGCTCAATGACCATATTTTCCTGGTTTAATAGATCGGGGTTGGTATGTGTTATGTTCACTAGTATTGGAATGGATATATCATTGTGTTTGTGCATGTGAGGCCGCTGAGATAACTCAATCATTTGGCTGAGGGGCCACACAATCCTTGCACATTTATTATTCCCACTAATACAGTCTGCTTTGCTAGTGGTTGCCTCTGCCAACTCTTCATAGCCTGATACTGGGGCCATGGCACTATTGTACTCTAACTCACTCTCAAGCTCCTGCAGATTGTTGATGCGGATGAAACTATGGATCATGCAAAGAGCAGATGGAATCCAAGCTTGGATGTCCGTACTCGGGTGCACAATGCAGAATCTTGAAGCAATGTTTCAGCACCCCAGATATCGATATCTGCTCAACCACATTGCGGGCTTGAGTATGGCGCAAGTTGAAGATTTTACACTCGTTCTTTGGTCAGGGATGTGCAAATTGTGGCATTGGGCATTATCAAAGAGGAGATCATCCCCTGCTGATCCTTCCTATCCTGTGAGAATATCAAAAAAATGGAGGTCAAAGGAGTAACAGGTGAGACAGTTTTGACTTTCCTTGGAATTTCAGGAAAGGTGATGTTCAGCAGCGCTGGAGATGTATGTGATGTGGGTGCCATCAATAGCACCTAGGGCATCTGAAAAATAAGGGTATAACTTGGGATTTTTGCGGATTTTGAGGGGTGTAGAATCTGTTTGGAGGGGTAGTCAGATAGTCAGACAAATGCAGTGTAAATGGGAGGTGACAAGGAGGTGAAGAGCATTTCCTTAGAATATCTGTAAATAGTATTAGTATAATAGGATAAAATACAACAGAAGCTCATATACCTTAACATTGTATCATTAGAACACTGGAAGCATTCTCCAAGATGCCTCACTGAAAGCCCTGTAACGACAGCATAAAGAAAGATTGCTAATTTCTCCCTGGAGGGTTATATGTTGCAAATCTTTATGACCAGCATCTTTCAGTGTCTCAGTTAATTTCTCAAATATGTGTAGGTGGACTCCTAGTTCACAGGAAATTTATTCTGGATGTCCGTTGATGAGTTCCAGCACACATCCCTGTCCAGAAAGAACAGAGGTGTGATAGGGTTATTTATCCAGGACTGACTCGGCGTGATGAATTGAGACTGCATCTGCAGTGGTGAAAAAAAGTGTTGCTACTTGGTTCAATCTGCACTGTTGATTGATGATGAGTTGTAGTACTAAAATAGTTTGCTGTAGCATTGTATTCTGCTGCCCTGCGGCTGAGTCAGCTTGTGGGTGAGGACCATTGACATCTATGCTTAAGATAAGATTAGTGGAGATAGAATGTGACAGGGCAGTATGAGTATTTCAAAGTCCGCATATCTGATTTCATTTTGCACTGACCCAAAGCTTTGTTTATGCTTTCAGTCCTGGGTGTCCAAATGAGCTCCTAGAGTCAAATGTGAGTAACTAGAAAATAGGAAGCATTGGACTCTGCAGTACTGTCTGAAGTTTTGTGAACAAAGGTAAACAAAGGAGCCACAGAGGCGGAATAGTAAAGAACACAATCAGTATTAAATAACATAGGAATAAGGAAAGGAATGAAAATAGGTAGAAATATGAATGGCATTATTAGGTGCAGAACCACCAAAACTAACACAATTAGTATATAAGCTGTAGCTCCTGTACTCCATTCCTGCAGTTCAAATATCAATAAATTCCTCCACCTTTTTACCCAAGTCCCTTTCTAAGCTTCCCAGTCCTTCTCTGAAGGACCTTTACTCCCCTCTACTTTTATCCTCCACTCTCCCTTCATTCACTCCGTTAAGTTAGGCATCAAGGGCCTAGCACATGAGCAAAGCCAACTCCCAACCTTGTACCCCACTCCGCTCCCCAGCATACCTTCTCACCTTCCAAAATTCCAATTACTCTGAAGGTCATAGTTCTGACACAGGCAGCCTTTCCACTAGGCCATGGGTCAAACTTGACTCTTTGACCCAGCTTGCAACCTTGCTGTCAGATAGCTTCTGAAATCCTGTTTGGAAATTATCAATTAAATTTGCTGACTCTGGTGATTCAAAATAGTGTCCAGGTCTGTGGAGGTGCATTTCAGCTTGTTGGTACATCTTCGAATGGATATAAACCTCTGGGCAGATATGAGAAGCAGAATGATAACCACTCTAAGTTGAGATCCCCACTCCTTCTCTGGGTTCTTTTTTGATACATGCAAAATGATGCAATTTGTGTGAAATCACAATATATTGGGCGCCATAATTAGCACCTTTATATTGAACAAGAGCCTCTAAAACACTTTTGCAAAAAATCAAGTGCATAGAACTGGCCAGCCTTTCTAGTCAGATTAACCAATAAACTTTTAAAGATGGCTTGTTTAAGCTCTGAGCTGGCTTCCAGCTTCAAGAAGGTCATT